CGCCCTCCGCGCCAGCCCCCACCCCCCGCACCCCGGGCAGCGAGCAGCAGCTCTGGAGCCAGACCCGGGTCCACCGGGTCCCCATGCTGCGCGGCCGTGGCCCCACCCTCTCCGACCTCAGTTTCTCCACTAGGGCGATGGGGCCGGCAGGGGTCTCCACCGGACACTTCCAGAAGGACGTCAGCTCTGCGCGGACTGGCGAGTGCAGGATCACCCCAGGGCTACCAGCACCCCATTTCCTGTGCGTTGTCCCCGCCTCACTCGGGGACGCAGCAGGCCTCCTGCCCCGCCCCTCTCCTCTCTGTTGCCCATAGGGCTCCCTGGGCTGCGTGGCGAGGACATGGAGCACCAAGGGGGTGATGAGTGGACTGCCCATCTGCTCCCATGGGCTCAGCCAGACTCCTCTTGGGCGCCCCCCTCCTCCTGGAAGCTCACTCTGGGGGTCTCTCGGCCCGAGCACAGGGAGAGGAATCGCGGGTCCAGGTGCGCCTGCCCTCCAGCCTGCAGCAGCTCGGAGCCTGGCCACCCCATGCCACTCCTTCAGTCAACGTTTATTGAGCACCTGCTATGTGCCAATACCGTGGTGACCCAGCCGGTCAGGCCCCCGGGAAGGTACAACCACACCTGTGATCAGGACGCTGTAAGGAAATGGCCCAGGCTGGCTGGGAGGCGGGGGAGGAGTTGGGGGGACCCTCGCTGGGGCGGTGACCGCCACAGGAGGTGGGACAAGGGCAGCCCTGGCAGAGGGGGCTGCCCCTGCCAAGGCCCTGGGGCTGGAGGTGCGGTGGGTGGAGCCTGAGACGGGGAGGGGATGAGGTAGGGGGAGCCCTAGGAGGCGGGAGGGGGTGCTGGCCGCTGACAGGCAGCAGAGGGTGGGGTCCTGGGCAGGGCTGAGCCAGCTGCGGGTGGCTCCCAGCTGTCTGGGAGTGGAGTCTTCGGGAGTGGCTGACAGTCCCCTGGGGGAAGGTGCTGGGAAGAGGAGAGGCCGGAGCTTGGCCCAAGCAGCTGGTGAAGGGAGGTGCCCCCTTTTACTGAGGGGGACAGGCTGGGGGTGGCAGGGCGAGTCCAGCGGTTACTTCTTGGCAGGTCCAGGGTCCCAGGGAAGAGGCTGAAAGTCCAGGGGTCGTGTCCGGCTGGAGATGGCCACATGGGCGTCCTCGGCACATGGGGGTGTTTAGCATCATGGGTGACATCACGGGTCACAAGTGCGGACAGAATGGGGTGGGGAGGAGGGGGGGTGGGTGTCGCTCCCCGAGGGCTGACGGGAGGGAGGCGCGGCGTGTGAGGGCAAGATGAAGACGTGGACCGGTGGACTGGCCTCGGTGGACGCAGTCGTGACCTTGGTGAAGTTGAGCCCTGCTCAGACAGGCTGGAGAGAGGACAGCGGGACAGGGAGGGGCCGTGGCGAGTGAGCACCCTCCGCTGAGCACTGACTGTGGATGCCTGGGCACTACGGCCTGGGGGGCAAGAGAAATCAATCGGGCTTGACCCGGGGACTCCGCAAAGTGCACAGCTGTGTCCCCCTCACAGGGGCCTTGTGCCCCGCGCTGCTGCCCACGGTGCTTTGCGGGGCGTGCATACAGATGGCACTGTCTGCATGTGTTCCTTGAGGGGCGTGTGCTCCTTGTGGGGCGTGCATACAGACGGCACTGTCTCCTACAAGGAGCACATGCAGCAGGCGTCACGCTCTGTAGGGAATGTATGCAGCAGGTGCTGCATCCTACAGAAATGCGCACAGCCCTGCGGGGAGTGCACCCAGCAGGCACTATATCCTGGAGAGTGCATACAGCAGGCACTGCATCCTGCAAGGAGGGTATACAAAAGGTTCTTCCCAGCAGGCATTATACTCTGCAGCAAGCGTATGCAGCTGGTACTGAGTCCTGCAGCGAGTGCATACAGCAGGCACCACCGCCTGAATGGGGGCCCTGGCGCGTGTGGGGTCACACAGTAGCAATGCGGTGAAGGTGCAGGGTCCTAGGTCCGCCCCCGGTCTTTGTCCCTCCTGGGTCTCTGGCTGTACCTGTCTCAGCCGGACTGGGCAGGTTCCGGAGGGCAGGGCCTGCAGCTGGGCTCAAGACACCTGGCACAGGTGAGGTGGGTGGCTGTGTGGCTCAGACTCCAGGTCAGGTGGCATCTAGGCCCCCCACCTCATGCCCTGGCCTAGGCCTCGGCCCAGGGTTGGCTGGACCCCTCCGCCCTGAGTTTTAGCCAGGATCCCGCCTCCCCACCGAGGCAGGGCCGGGCCGGGCCGGGATGGGTGAGTACACATGGCTCCCAGGGGAGGTGGGTCGGCTGGGATCCTGCTCCCTCTGCGGTCTCATGGCCTTGGGGCTCAGGAAATGTCCCCAAGTGGACCCTGTGGCCCCCTCATGCCTCCTCCCCCAACTCCCTGTGCCTCCCGTGATCCCAGGGACCTGGACGCTTCAGCGTCCTGAGCTGACTGGGCAGGCGGGGTCCTGGAGCTGTCCAGACATTGCTGGGCATGAGCACAGGGAGAGCAAGAACTGGGACCCACTATGGCCAGGGTCACCCACGTGAGCTGGGAGAGCTGCCGCAGGGCCATGACAGGCAGGAAGCAGAAAGGGCCAGATTTCTGAGACCAGTGCGTGAGTCCCTGGATCGAGCTATACCTGAAGCCGCTCGCCTGGTGTCATTTCACTTGAGAACTCTGGATTTCCATGACATCTATTCAGGAGGTCCCCAGGAACGGGAAGCAGTGTCCTTACAAAGCATCGCCTTCACTCCGGACAGGTCCTGCTTCTCACGCCACTGGCCCCACTGACTGCAAGTTGCCCCTGCCTTGGGGACTCCCAGATCTAACGTGAGACTCCCAACTGCCCCCCGTGAGAGCAATCCTCACCCCCCACTTTATGGGTCAAGACGTTGAGGGGTAGAGGGACCAAGTCACAGGCAGCGAGACTCAGAGGGCCTGGGACGACTTCCTAGCCACATCTGAATGGGTGTCCCAAGCCTCTCTGGGTGCGGGGTGCAGGGAGGGCTGGCCAGGCTGGACCTGGAGCATGAGGGGGATGGGCCAGAGCACAGTGAGGAAGGGAGTCAGCTTCGAGGCCACAGAGGGGCAGGGACGGTGACCCAGAAATGGCAAGTCATCTAATGTAGGGGTCCCCGGCTTTTGTGGCACCAGGGACTGGGGCTCCTATGAGAATCTGACGCCTGAGGCACTGGGGAGCGGCCGCAGATACAGATGCAGCTTCACTGGCTCTCCCGCCGCTCCCCTCCTGCTGTGCGGTCTGGTTCCTAATAGGCCACCGACCGGACCGGTACCGGACTACGGCCCCGAAATTGGGGACCCTGGGTCTAAGGTACTGTTAGATGAAAAAAGTCAAAAAAAATCAAGCACAGTATGATGCCATTTATATACAAGAGAAAGGACACATGTCACCATAAACACAGATAGGAAATGGGATGAACGCCCAGCATTGCCCACGATGACCTCGGGGGAAGTTATGGGTGACTGAGTTACTGCTGTAATGACAGGTTTGGCTTGAATTTCTTGTAATCACCTCCCAATTCTCGTGTTTTTTAAGATAAAATGTTGATTCCGAAATCGTTTCAGATTCACGGAAAGCTGCAAAGGCCCTACAGAGTTCCTGTCTACCCTCTGTCATCAGTAGGTGTAGAGGGGCCTGAGGACACGTCACCTCACGTGGCAGAAGGAACTTTGCAGACGGGTTAAGTCGAAGACCCTGAGACGAAGATGACTCTGGAGGACCAGAGAAGACGGTGGTTCTAGAAGGTGCCAATGACAGTGGCCGCTGGGAGAAGCAAGGACAAGCTTTGGAGCTGGACGAGCAGAAGCTGGCCACCCCCCCCTACCCCCAACAAGGGCCCAGTTGGAGGCAGTGCCCTGCACCAGTCATGGGGTTTCTGGGGCACAGTGGCGGGGTGCCCTGTCCCCAGGGGCTGAGCTCACAAGTACAGACATGAAGGAGTCCACGCAGTTCAAAGAGAGGTCCCCAGAGCGGGAGCGAGTCACGTCCCACCCTGTGCCAAGGCTGAGCGCATGCCCGGCCCTGCAGGCCTCCCGCGGAGCCCTGGGGGGGTGGGGGCTCCCGGCTGCCTGCACCCGTCTCTGCAAGCACCTGTGGCAGGTATTCTGAGCAAAGCTTCCTGCACTTCTGGGAAATCCACTGTGTCTGGAGAGTCAGCTCAGGCCAGGGGGAGAGCAGACTGGAGCAAATCAGGGCTGTGGCCTAGGGTGTGGGAGCTCGGGGGGTAGGCGGCCGGGCCAGGGTGCCACCTCAAGCCTCCCCAGGCTTCCAGGGCCCTGGGCGGGGGTCAGCGTGGGTGGCCGGGCAGCCCCAAGAGCCTGCCCCGTTCAAAACTATGACCCCGTAATCAGCTCCCTACCCATGTCTTAGTTTGCTTATCTGTAAAATGGGATTTTTAGCAAGCCCCCTGAGGCTGTGTGTTTTTGGGGGAGTGGGGTAGGGAATCTAATGTGTTTTTCCTTTTCTATTGTGAAAAATGCACGTAACAAACTTTACCACCCTAATCGCAGTCAAGGGCACAGCTCGGCGGCCTTAGGCACACTCACAGGTTGTGCAGCCGTCCCCAGCGTCCACCTCCAGGACTTTCTCATCGTCCCACGCTGACACTGTTCCCGTTACACACTTCCTCCCCTCCCCTCCCCCAGCGCCCATCACCCACCATCCGCTCTCTGTCTCCGAATCTGATTCCTCTGGGGACCTCCCGTGAGTGGGATCACACAGGACGTGTCCTTCTGTGTCTGGCTCCTGAGCAGTGTCCTCCAGGTCCACCCACGCTGCAGCAGGTGTCTGGACGTGCTTCCTGTTCAGGGTTGAATAATATTCCAGCGTGCGGATGGACCAGATCTCACCCACCTACCCGCCGCGGACACCCACGTCGTTCCCCCTCTTGGCCCCTGTGAACCGCGCTGTCGTGAGCAGCTGTGTTTTGTCATTCGAGTGTGCTGGGGGAGGTCAGTGATCAGGCTGCGGGCTGGGAGTGGAGGCCTCCCCAGCCCCACGCTGGAAGCTTAGCCAGGAGAACCCAGTGGGCAGCCGGGAGGGGAAGCCAGTGTCTGCCGGGGGCGTCAGCTGACCGGCAGGCTGGGGCACCCCGCCAGGAACTCTGAATTTCTCCCCACCGCAGGAAGCCACTGGGGGTTCAGTGGGCTCAGCCCCAGCCTCTTCCCGCCCGAGAGGCCAGGGGGGACCGTTTGGGGGGTGGGGGCTCCAGCCTCGCTGACTTACCCTGTGGCAGGGCACAGCCACGGCCCAGCGCTGGCGGCTTGCTGGTGCCTTCTGGACTCTTCGGTTCTCTCGTCTGTGACATGGGGCTTCGAACAGCACCGGTGTCCGGGACAAGCCACCGCCCGGAGGGGCCTGGCTTACTCACGTCCACCCCCGAAGCACCCGAGGCCCGGACTCGGCCGATTCTGGATGACCCGCTCGCAGCCGCGCAGTGCAGGCCTGGCGGAGCCTCACCCGGTTCAGACGCCCACAGGGGTGCTCGGCGCATCCCAGGGCAGCTGTGACCCGACAACTCAGACCCACGGCCCCCAGCTCCCCGCCTTTCGCCGCACGGCACCTGCTTCTCATGAGCAGGGGACTCGCTCCTGGGTCACCGCCAGCGGCTCCTGCACCGGCCCTCGACCCCCCGGCCCCGGTGCCGAGGCCGCCCCGACAAAGGTCCCCGAGTCTTGCTCCACCAGATGCACTGGGGCTCCACCTTGCCGTGCCAAGGGACCATGTGACAACTCAGAAGGCGCTTCCTGTCCCTGGTGGCGTGCCTGGGCCGGATTCAGAAAACTGCTCTCTGGAAAATTCCGAGGCCTGATTCCAGCCGCTTGGAGACTGCTAACCCAGCCCCATCTGCTGCGTTATGTAACCTACGGGGATTAGTCCCCGGGGGGCCAGAGCCAGCTGCCCACCTTCAAAGCCAGCTGTCCCTTCCAGGCTGGGTAAGCGACTCGACCTCCCGGGCCTCAGTGTACTCCCCTGCAGAGTGGGGACAGGCCAGTTCCTGGGTCCCAGCATTGGAGGAAGGGCGACATGATGACACCAGGGAAGGGCCTGGAACTGGGGCTGGGCCACAGCTCACAGATGCCCCCAAGGGGTTCCGGGGTCCCTGAGCCTGCCCACTTAACCTCCCATCCGACTTCCCCTGCCTTGAGTCACAAGTGTCCCCAAATCCTGTCCATTCTCACTGTCGAGCATCCCTCATAAACGGCACCTCCCAACCCGGAGCCACGCCCCCTCCCGGGTACCCGCCCCAGGCCCCATGCGCCTCCCACCAGCCCCGCCCAGAGATGCCGGGCTGCCTTCTCCGCTGGTCCCTGCTGTGGCGCCCACCGCCCAGGGGGTCCAGCCCCACGATGTCACGTGTGCTCCAGAGACTCACCTGCAGGGTGAGCCCAGGCGCATGCGCTCAGAACGACTAGACTCAGACGCCTCGGAGACAGTCCCTCTGGGCCTCGGTTTCCCGCTCAGACAGCTCGCAGCCTGGCGGCAGGTGCAAGATTGGAAGAGCCGCAGGACTAAGCCCACCAGGTTGTCGCCAGGTGGGCACGCCGGGCGACAGCGCTGCTCTTGGCGCGGCAACTCCCGCCAGCAGGGGTCGCTGCGCCGCACACCTTCCACGACTGCAGCGCCCAGCGCGTGGCCGCGCCCCCGCCCCGCGCCCCGGCCAATGAGAAGCGCGCCCGGCGACGCACCCCCAGACCCCAGCGCCCCGAGGCGGGAGCCGAGGAATGCTGCGCCAGGGGCAGGAACCAGCCGAGGCCTCAGGAGGGAGCCCACCAGCCTCTGCGAGGAAAACGGACCATGTTGAATGGTGGCTCTGGACCAACCCCCTGTGTCCACACTCCGCGGTGGCGGAGCGCAGTCCAGAGGGTGGATTTTATAAAAAATGGGCTGCGTTGCCACCAGACCTTTTACAAAAGTCAGGCCATACCAAGCAGATACTTTTCAAAGCATCTTCCCATTAGTACTGCTTAGCGCTGGTCCGGGCGGCACAAATAGTCCTCGCTGGGAAGTAAAGGGGTCGTGAACGTGTTGTTACTCTGCAAAACAGAGCGGTAAAGACGCCGTGGAGAAGGCACTTGCCCAGGGTCGCAGACTTTCAGAGCAGCCTGAGTGTACTAGAGACCCCGCTGCCAAATGACCCTTGCAGTGAGCTGGGCCTCCGAGGGGTTCACTGGCAGACATGAAAGCCAGCACATCTGGTCGGAGACCTGAGCTTTATAACCAATATCTCATCCTTCAATCACTCCCCACCCCCGAGTAGTCCAAAGGACGGCAGATCGCCACTCAAAGTGGGACACAGGGGGTTACAGGGCCAAAATTCAACCTGGTCCCTTCTCATCCAAGAGGCCCAGGGGCTCCTTCTTGAGGCCTCTGTTCCTTCCTGCTTTTTCAATTTGATATCAGACTTCTGGACTGGAGCAGACGCCTCCCTCTCCTCCACCTTTCTGCCTGGGCTGGTTGTGATGGTTCCTGTACACTCATTCAAAATTCAGAAAACTGAGTCTCATACCCGTGATCACACAGCTAAGAAGTGACAGAGTCACATACAGGCCAACAGGTGTCTGAAGTTTCCCAAACTGACCTCTTTCTACCAGGTGAAGGATGCCATTTTGGCTTCTTCTTCGACAAGGATGGACGGGCACATGGGACGATGGAAGGGTGGGCCAAAGCATCCTGGGCACACTGTCTGTGGGCGGCCTTGAAGTCTGCATGAGGATACAGAGAGGAATTAGACATATTTTCTGCCCCAAGGAGCTCAATGGGACCCTGAGTGCTTATCAAAATTATGTACCCAACTACCCGCAGAAGATCGAACATTCCCTACAAAGCCCCAGGGCCTGGGAAGCCGGTGCATTTGCCGCAAGTGAGAAATTTCTCGGAAGTCTGTACTTTTGGCTCACACTGGACGTGAACTGAGTGTGTAATGCCAGAGCTCCCATATATATATGTGCATATATGTATGGTGGTTTTTTTAGAACAAAAAGCTGTGTTGCCCCCAGGTCTTTAGGGAAGGCAGGCCATTCCAAGCACATCCGCCTTCCCGGAGTGTGGACACACAGGGTCCCAGAGCCACAATTCGACTTAGTCCCAGCTCATCCAAGAGGTCCCAGGGCTCCTTCCTGAGGCCTCTGCTCCTTCCTGCTTTCTCAATTTGAAATGAAACTTCTGGACTAGAGCAGACACCTCTCCCCGGTCACTTTTCTGCCTGGGATGATCGTGGGGGTCCGTGGATGCTCATTCAAAATTAAGTAAACTAAGTCTCAGAGAGGTGATCACACGGCTAATAAGTGACAGAGTCAGAGTGTGGACACAGGGGCTTCCAGAGCCACAATTCAACCTGGTTCCTTCTTATCCAAGAGGCCCGAGACCCCTGCTGTGCCCCTGCCCCTCCGTACTCTGTCCCAGCTGCTGCTCAGAACCCAGAGGCCCCGACCCTGAACCAAGACCCCAGACACCCCAGCTCAGAAGCCACGTCCCAGCTCAGAACCCAGAGTTTTCAGGTCCGAATGCAGGAGTCGGCACCCGGCCAGCCCAGACGTCACCGACAGCAGCTTCAGAGTCCCCCCAGGCAGCGGACCATGCTGTGAGAAACCCCTCTCCACCATACAGCCAGAGACTTCCTGTGCAGAATCTCTACGCCAACCCCACAGGCTGCTCACTACCACCCCACAGTTCCCCTCTCACGCTGCTTTAGAGTATGGGGGTTTTCCTTAAGCCTGAACCCCAACCTGTCCCCCAATCACAGACATGCCCAGAAATGCACACGGGAGCCAACGACAGCCCCCTCTCTCATTTCTCAATTCTCACATCTCCCCCCTCCACCCCTGCTCTGCAGTCAGAAGCTGAGGGACCCCAAGGGCAAATATGTTTCTTTACAAAACACACAACCCCTCCCAGCATGCGATGCCTGGGGGAGCAGGAGGGGCCGGGGCCTCACAGGCCTGAGACCCCAGGAGCACCAACCCCGCCCCCAGCCACATCTGAAGGTGGGGAGGGCACAGAGGGACAATGCTCCCTCTCCAAGGTCACGACCGCGTGTCCAGTCGGCTCATGGATTCCTGCAAAGGCCTGCAGACGGCTGTGTCTGTTTCGGCCACGTCGGCGCCTGGTGGCCAGCGCTGTATTCTGTGACAGCGGGCATGGGCGTGGAGGGCCGTGAGGGGCCTGAAGCTGCGCGCAGCTCTTGGGCCTATTTGCTGCCCTCGGACCAACCCGGCGGACTACCGGGCAGGCGAGGGAGAGATGTGGAGTCCCGGGCTCACCTTTGACCAGTCCCCAGCCCCCAGCATTGGCCAGGCATCTCTCAGGGCCGTAGCGTTCCACGGGGGTGAACTGCTGCAGCTGGGGGAGGCATGAAAGGGGTCAGGCCCCCTCCCTCTATCCCTACCCCCTAAATCCCACTGCAGCTTCTGTACCTAAGGACCTCGGACAAAATAAGGGCTGACACTTACATGAAATGACTTTGTATCTACACGGAAACCCTCGGAGGTGAATATCGTTAGTACCATCCACATGTAACTGAGAAGCTGAGGTACTAA